CTGCCGTTCTTTAGAATGTTGCTGTAATATTACATTGTAATATTTCTGAAGGCTTACATTTTACCGTTGTTGCAAGATTGCTGCAATGTTGTAATCTTGCGATGAAACATTGCTATAATGTTGCTGAAACCTTGCTGTGCTGTATGGGTAATTGATATTTCCGAAAATTCCTATTAGTCCCGAAAAATATAGTATAATATAATAAATATCAGGACAACATAAACCGCAAGGAGGTGGCACTGTCCGAAATTCCAAGAATGTAATAGACATTTCCGAGAATTCGTTTTCCATAATTTGAATACCAAAAAATCGAGAAAATATCAGGAGAACATAAACGGCAAGGAGGTGGCACTATACAAAATTCCAAGAATGTAATTAATCTTTCCGAGAATTCTTTTAATTTTGTTTTTCATAATTCGAATTCAAAAAAAAATCGAAAAAATATCAGAACATAAACGGCAAGGAGATAGCACTATCCGAAATTCCAAGGAACCGAGAATTCTTAGAATCCCGTTTTCCACAATTCAAAACCCCGAAAGAAAATTAAAGTTTCTTTTTGCACCATTTTACGAATATTGTCACAATACTTTTGTAAGAAATGTAGATTAACGATATGTGACAACGCAACGGATATTGGCGTTGCAAATATATGGGATGGGGGATGGGATCGTTGTTGCAAATGAGGGATGAAGTTTCTCATCACACTTGTCGATACTACTGTCACAAACTGTGTTTATTTTTATCATTAATGTATATTATTTATTATAAATAAGTTAGAAACATTGATTTTGGGCATGATAGGTGTTTACAATTTTATACACAGAGAAAGAATACCCAACATATTTTACGCTCCCAGAAGGGTGGTGTACGCCTCCGGACGAAGGAGAGATGATTTACAAATGAACCTAACAGCCCCTTGGAGACTTTTGCATGTCGTTTACTCGCCGGGTTCTCGATTAGGGTTGTACAAAGCTTAGTAGTGTTGCAACCGATCTCCTTTTGTATTTATTTCTCGATAAAGTGTCTTTCACACACACGCACAATGAAAATTACTCCCTCGCCTTCTTTCCGTCTTGTCACCTGTCTCTTTCTTTTTCTCGCCAACCCCTCTCTCCATTTTTCTTACACGCAAGCGTATGCCCGCGCAATTGCACATATACGCATATACACACGCATACATACACACACATTTGTTTCTTCTCATTCACTCATTCGTATTTCTCACTAGCATCGTTTTGCATTTCGTGTCCTGCACACGCATTATCTCTTCCTCCCTCTCTGCCATCATCCGTTTAGTCACGCGCTCTCAATGAAAACCAAGCAGTATTACTATCATTAATCATTATTACTATTATTATTATTTTATCATTATAATTATTATAATCATTATTATTATATAATTATTAATGTTATTCAATATTATTTGTTGGTATCTGCTTAATATATAATATATTATATATATTTATATATATATATACTTTTTCTTTCATATAAACTCAGTGTTCCAACCAAGGTGGGTGTGACACAACTAAGGTATATGACACATACTGCCCGATGTATGTGCGTGCGCGACGCCGGCGATGCTCGGGCGTGCCCGAACGGGAAACCTCCCGGGCTCGGCCGACGTCGCATAGTAGAGAATCGTCTCCATCAGACGCGCGACGTACTCTCCGGGTTCGCGCGCGGCTCCCGCTATCGCTGTCCCTCGCGATTACGCTTGGCGAGACCGCTCATCGACTCGGGGAAAATCGTCTCGTAACACCTCGCGTTACGCGTGAGAACAAAGTTCGTCTTTCGTCCCCTCGCGTTTTCACCCTCGAAAAAAAAAACTGGCAAGTTCCGGCTTGTCATTCCTCCTCGTGGTTTCCGCGCTTCGTCGTTAATTCCCTTCTCACGATATACTGAAAAGACCTTTTACTTTGAAACCGGGCGAATCTTTCGTTCTCCCCCACCGACAGCGTAAAATTTCGTTTCTGCCTTGTACTATTCCGTTTCTCTTTATCGCATCTTTCAATAGAGAAAGAAGCGTTGACAACTAATCGCTCGCCTCTTCCTTCCACGCTTTCCTCTATTGAATGTTTCTCGCTGGTTTATTATACTAATTTGTAGAGTTTTTCTTCTCTAATTTCTTAAATTCAACGTTAATTCATTTCGTTAACCACCACCTCTTTCGTTTTTCACTCGTCTTCTACCCGCGTCATCGGGGAAGGAGGGAAGGTGGCGACAATCGCGGCTTCGAAAAGACAATCGAACCATCGGAGAGTACGAGCAACGGGCAGCGCGCTAGCCAGCATATGACCAAGCGCAGGCAGTGAGCAGTTCATACGTACGTACACTGTATAATGTGGATACGGGGCGAGCGAGAGGCATGAAGCCCCCCCTCTTTCGAAGGAGAAGGGACTCATGATCTTGGCTGCGCGCGGTGGCTGTGCCGTTGTGTGGAAAAGTGAGGACCCGACGAAGGGAGAACCGCGATGAACTCCTCCCCTCCCTCGTCACCCGTTTAAGAAATTCACCCTCGAAAAAGCGGGGCAACACGCTCGTTTGTAAGAAATTCATCGCACCCTTAAAGAAATCGTCCTCGCAAATCGAGAGACGAGATCTCTCCGTTCCCGAGAATGTCATCGGGACCTCGTGTCCTTCAGGAATTCATCTCCGCGAGAAACGGAGGCCCTCAGTTACCCGAGGAGTTCCGCTCCTCGCGAATCAGGACTTCCCTCGCTCAGGAGGGATTCGCTCGCAGCTCAAGGAACGTTCTCCTCGCGCAACCCGCACGCACAGCCGGCAGAGAGAGGAGACGGCAGAGAGAGATATCTGCGGGCTCCTCCCACACGCCTTAATTACCTAAGTCACATCGAACAGACGCAATTCCCGCGGTATCTTTCGCTTCCGCAAACGCAAAGTTTCCGTCAGACCTCACACACTCTCTTTCTCTTTCTCTCGCACTCGTTTTTACTTTCTTTCTTTCTCCTCTCCCCCTCTCCGCCACTGCTGCTATCTTTCATTCTTTCTCTTTCTCGCTTCCTCTCTCTTTCTCTCTCTCTCCCTCTCTCACGCTCTAAATCTATATTTGTCATTCTTTTTATATATTATATATAACAATATTTATATGATGGATTTTTTTAGTGGATTCGAGTCACATGCAGAAAGAACTTTGAGTCGTTTCTGGCACGGATAAAAAGGAAGAAACAAAACACTTTGGCTCTCGCGTAAACTCTAAACGTAGGATGCTCTCATAATTTAGCATTTAGTACACTTGAGAAAAAGGAAAAAAAGAAGTAGAAAAACAGAAAGGAAAGAAGAAAAGAAAAACAACAACACCACACTAGAAAATGGCACTAGAATTGCTCTCACTTGTGTCATCGAATCTAATTCGCGTTTAAAAAGCGGTTTTTTTAAATCTTATTTTTCTTTTTCGTTCGCCCGCCTCGCTGTTTCGCCTCTTCAGTTTCTTCTCCTCCGCTGAGATCTCTTGGACTCGAGACGAACACAGACGGACGCGCCGTTAAAAATCCACGCGGCACAGCCGCGCCGCGCGCCACGCTCACGCACGTGAGACACGTGGTTCGCCATCGTTCGTTCGCTCATATACATATATATTTATAAATATATAAATATATTTATACACAAGTCAGACAACGATGCCCGGGACTCTCAGGTATTGACGCATCCTCGGAGTGGAGCGCATTCGCCCGCGATATCGACTAAGAACTAATCTACAAAAGAAAGGTAACAAATCCCAAAACGGGAACCGGCGTACGAGAGAACCGAATCGACTCGCGCGAGTTGGTACCGACGGTGAAGAGACTTCGCTCGTTTCTTCACACTTCCTCCGCTAAGAAATAGAACGCGTAACGTTCACGACACGTTATTAGGTCCTTGTACGCCTCTCGCGTCCTTCACGTGTGAATTACGCGTCTTAAGCTACTTGTGCTGGGTACAACACTCGGCGCGACGAAGCTTAACGGCGGCGCGTGGCGACGACGCACGTGTTCGATACATGCGTGCGCGTGCATGCGTATACGACGGCACCACGAGTTCGTCTTGTTCTTGTCCCGCGCCTCTTCGTCACTCCTCACGTCGTTCCACGAATCACGCTCGCGAGTCAACGGAGTAGTATTCTCGCACTGATACATTTGGTCAGGGTGCGAGAGAAACTGGTCGAGTCCGCACGGAATTGCAGCGCGCTTCGCCGCCTAAACCAGATTGTACTCCTTCAGATTGGACTGCAGAATGGTGTCCTTTACCGCCGCGAACACAAATCTGATGTTCTCCGTATCTGCGGAATAGAAAAGATACATGTTCAAATATACCAGAATATATCTTTGGGACTCGCTCGAGAGTTTTACTAGTTGCATGAAGCACCGTTCGGTACATGCTATGAATGATTTTCTTCTGCTCAAATGAGATTCTCAACTTGTCATTGTGACTTGTAATTAAACCTTCCGAGACCTCTGATGCACACATGTCACTAAATATTCGTAGGAAATTGATGTTAAAATTTAAGACTAACAGTGAGTGTGATATATTTACAATGTACACTTTGTAAATATATCATGCTTATGCTACTTATTATTGTTATATGTAATGCAAGTTATTTATTGATCGTTAATAACTCCAGGCTACCATTAAAGGTCCGTCTTGAAAGGATTAACGTGAAAGCGCAAACGAAGATCGGCACTTACCCCCTAAGCAAGAAGTTCAAACCCTGGACAGTCATGACACACATGCAGCATGCAATTCCCTTCAAGATACTTTTTGTAGCAATATGAGAAAGAAATCATAAACACAGTATTTCTTTTTTAATATTTCTTCGAAAGAAGCTTAGGTTAAAAATTAATAATGCAAAAAAAGAGGTTGTAGCAATTATGTCGATATATAATACATGTAAAATGTTAAAACAATGCATTATTAAAGCATGAAATATTTCAAGTACTTAAATATATAAGTATATATAAATATTAAAGACATTATTTCATTAAATTCTAAGTATTGAATACATATGTATATGTATATATATATACGAATTTTACAATCATTATAAAAATATTGTATTATCTTCATATAAGTAGCGTTTGTGAAACAAATGGAATCTTAATCACAAGTAATGGAATATTCTATTTTTTGCCAGACTCTGATAATATAGTACACTTAATAAAAATACCGCTAGTTTATAACAAAGGCATATTAGTAACGCAATGTTGCAAGAAATTAATTTTAGCAATTATTAGAGCGAACATTAATTGCTATGTTCCTTTTATTTCGGGGTTAGGAGGCTTTGATAATATATTTTTACTCAACGTATACCGTAATATGTTCTTGTCAACGATAAAGCTGGCAGTTATTTTCGAAATTTTCAAAAGTAAAGTTGTATTCGCAGTTGACGACCAATTGCTGAGAATGACACAGACCCTAAGCTGCGGAATTCAATTGTAAACAGTAACATATGAAAAAAAAATTAAACAAATAATCTTCAACAATTCACTTTTTTCAATAATATCTGTCAGGCAATCGCTATATTATTTAGCCACTTCTGTAGTGTTCGTTGATTGAATTATAAGGCAGCTTCGTCATAAATCTGTTTTACAAGTCTACGTCATTCTCGGCATCTAATCGGCATCCTAATATCAACTAATATCGTCAAGAATCTGCGTATACTTGATAACATCTATACAGTCACGTTAAGCAAGATTAAACTCCTTAAGCGCGGTTTGCATGATCGTATCCTTAACAGCGCAGAATACAAGCTTGATGTTTTCCGTATCTGATGGTTAATTCCATGAATGCAGCATGCAAAATATAAATCGAGTTTCATTGAGATTGGTCAGCACCACCTTATGCCTTTGAAAAATCAACCTGGTACCGAATTGATCGATATTTGTATATTTTTTTAAATATCATGTCCATTACTCAGTTAAACAGAGAAAATATATACACAATATTTACGAAACTGTACATACTGATTTGTACTAAATGAATTAAATATATTTGAGAAATTATAAGTGTTACGCTAAAGACAATCCATATTATTTGTAATTATCTTATTTATTGCATTCTTTTTTTAACAAGTAACTCTGTTTTAAGTAATATTTTATCCATTAGAAATATTTTTCTATTTAAATTATAGTTCGTCTTATTATCTTTTATGTGCAACGTAAATATGCATCTTCTTTCGTCCTCTTCACCGAAAAAAAAGATGTCTTTTGTGTATGTAGGTTGATTTTTCCATGGTGCATTTATAACATTTGATTACACACCTGATTATACGGGAGGCAGGCAACATACAAGCTCTGGTACAAGACACAACACATCGAAGAACTGTTATAAAGCGAGAGAAATACGGTATTTTTGTACACGGGAGTTATCAAGAGCTAGCCTACCTGTGGCACACGTAAAGTGGGAATAAATAATCTTCTCGCTGTCTGGATTCAAGTCAACGAACATCCTCAGGATGAATTCTCTAGCTTGTATAGCATCTCTTTGCCGACCTGCGAAATACACAAGCAAGGGTGGGGCATGGCATTACTTCCGTTATCTATGAAGCGAGCGTATACTGCATAGTCAATGTCTCTTAGACGATCGTTTAATAACGAGACGATTAATCGATACGCATAATTGAGATTTTTGCCAGGTGTAAATGCGATAGGATGCAAGTTTGGATTCTGGCTAAGAGAACTATTCGGTGTTACAGGATTTTTAAGTGTTTCATAAGACAAGAGTGAATCTAGGAAATGTCGTCGCGCGACATCGGTTTTGCTCGTGAGCACAGCATAACGCGAAACGCAGACGGATATCGATCTATTTTAATGGAATAACGTTGTACTCCACTCAAATCCAATATACGCTCTCCAAGGACAGCTTATTAAATTAGTCGTAGTGAACATCAAAGAAGCCTTTCGAAAGCCTCATTAATAAGCTAGAGAGCTTATGTAAGAACACTGAGTACAATTTTGCAAATTCGAGACCGGTTGCTCGCACGTTGTAGTACGCGATAAAATCTAAAAGAACCCTCATCGCGGATGAAGAATCTCAATTTATTTTTGCTGGATATTTAGAATTTTAGTGCTGTAAGTTGTTGGACGTTAAAATACGTTATACGTTTTACGAAGTTGTAAATTACAACACAGGATTGCGACGAGCGTTCTAATTATTGCTATTAGATTAACTAGCTTGAATCTACATACAAGTTAACTTTTGATTCATCAAGATTACGTGCTACTGACTATCGCAAATTATGCGCGGGAGTACATATGTATATATAGGATTGGTGTACGTATTAAAATAGCTTTGCAAATAGATTACTACTAATGACAAATAACCACGTGAATTCAGAATGCCAGAGTGGCAAAGTCACATTAAACCGTTTGACAAATAACTAGAGAGCCTACATTTTCTGCTTGGGATACACTCGCTACTCGGACAGACCTGTCGCAGCCGTAAAGTGAGAGTAGCACATTCGGTCGGGATCGGGATTACAAGTGAGATACACCTTTAAGATGAACTCCTTGGCCGGCATATCTTGTTGTTTCGGGCCTACACCATACAACTTATTCTTTTTTACCAATATCAAAATAAACAATTTCAACTGACTTTATTCAGCCTGTACTTCGAGGTAAATTAATAATTTGACTAAAGATCAATCAATGCTTTGTTCTAATTTCTGCGAGAACACTGCGATAGTATAATGGGAACTTGAAATATATTTTTATCTTTTGATAAATACCGTAGCATGGAGAGTTATTTTCATTTTTAAATATAAGATCTAATATCTAATTAATTAACAACCAGAATAAATATTGAGCACTTTATATTGGCTGGTTATGTCGGTTTGTGTTGGATAATCCGTTTGCAGACCTTAGCGTTTCTAAAAAAAAAGGACGCTTGACATTACAACTTACCATCATATTCCGGAAAGTAGTCGACGAGATGAGAGTACATAATCTTTTCTTCTAGCAGATCTTTCTTGTTGAGAAACAGGATAACAGAGGAGTGTTGAAACCAGGGATATGTTATAATCGTTTTGAACAGTGCTTTACTTTCTTCCATTCGATTCTGAAAGGAATCAGGCGTAGAGTTATGACAAATTCATCGACAATTCCCATGCAGCCTCGAAAATATTATATAATAATTACCTCGTTCTCCGATTCAAATAGAATTTGATCATATTCACTTAGAGCTACTAAAAATATAATTGAAGTAACGTTCTCGAAACAATGGATCCACTTTCTTCTTTCCGACCTCTGTCCACCGACGTCTACCATCCTGCAAATAACGTTCTGTTAAATCGAGCACTGTTAATAACACGTAAATATAGTCGAATCTTCGTATTTTTAACTTGGAATCATTTGTTGAACACTTTTTTTCTAATGCTGTTTAAGTTTCGGATTTTTGAAAATTTAGATTCATTGCTATTAATGTAGAAATTGGAAATAAATTTCAACTTATTTTCAGAGTATTCAGTACACAAGAGAGAAAGACTGAAGATTCAGCTATATAATCTTTCTGACTACTAAAAAGTATAGTTCTATTGAATACGATTTTTACACGCTTTCCAAAATTTAATATCAACGCCGAGAAACGCATAGGACGAATCGGATCGTAAGACAAGTAGCATGGCTAATATTTACATTTCAACAAATTTAATGAATCGTATGCAATGTGTTGCTATTGTGAGCTAAGTGTTACCTACTATGCTCTGCTCTTAATCTTTTATACATTTTCAGAATCTTTTGTAGTTTGCAATAAAAAGGCAAGCGAAATAAGTAGAAGCTTACTTTATATGTTTTTCATTAATTCTATGCGAGGTGAAAGATTGAAGAAAGTTTCTGCTTGGAGATATATTGAAATAAAAATACACATAGGTCTAAATTACATTTCATTAGGGAAAATAGACCATTATATGTTATATCGAACAAATTAAATAAATGCAGAAGTTCTCAATTTTAGTAATAATCTGTTTTAAGACAAGTAAGCACATGCTCTCTTCTCCGACCCAATTCGTTCTGGTTTACTCTATAAAATTTACAAAATACCTAATTTTATTCCAATACATTCATAAAAGAGTATGTATTTATTATTCTCAAACTACGTAACTACGTAATTACGAGTGACGTTATTATAAAAATTCGTTGCATGCAGCAGCATTATTATAACTGTACACTGAACGTACAAATAGCGAACGAATAGCAAATGTAAATTTAAATTGTTGAAGTTTGATAATTTATTTATGCCATAAATGCGAACAGCGCGTTCGTTGATGTTTAATTTAATTCGCTCATAAGATGCATTAAATAAATATTAATTTCCAACAAAAATATTAATTTTCGTATTTACTGTCCGTCCGCTTACGTCTACCCACTTTAGCTGAACAATCTAATATGTGAAAAATATAAAACACATAAAAAGACATGCAAACGTCGAAGCTTCTTTAAAATAATTACATATATAGAATTACATATAGAATTATATATAAATAGATGTGTAACTTCTGTTCATCCTTCTCCTTTCGGACAAATGAAAGAAAAGGATATAATAAAGTTATTTAATTAGATTTGAATTTTGTTCTAATATTTTTGTAATAAATTTTTTATATTTTATACTTGGTAGTTTTATTAGCAGTTTTATTAAGTTAAAATTTTATTGAAGCGATCGACTTAAAGAGAAATTATATATGGCAATTATCTTATTTGTATTTCAGTATATTTTAATTTCTTTAAAATGTATTTCTACATTTCCTATTAAGAAAATAATCTACTTTAAGTTTGCTTAAAAAAAATTCATCTCAATGAGGGAAAGAAAAAGGTTTAATTGGTTCACATTTGCTTCCTACATACGGAAATATCTTGCGACGTTAACAAAACTCGAGTGCACGTTCGAAGGTGTAGAATCGGATTGAAAGACTATTAGTACCTAAATATGATGGAGTCCAGATCAAATGGATATTCTATAATTCCGGTGGTGGGAGCTCGTGCCCGGAGGATGTCTTGCTCGGTCGGAAGGAAATCGGGCTTTTCGATACGCTCTAGGTCACTAAGATAACTGCAAAACGAAACAAAAAGCTGCTATCTGGAGGTGCATGCCATGCGTGGTATACTTAAAAAAAATGTATATTAAAAATATATGTATATTAAATAAGTAAAAAACAAGGGGAAATATTGTATAAAACAGTTTTCACACATGCTTGTCCAGTGGTTTAGCCTGAAAGAATTTTTTAACGCCGATGCCAAGTCCCGAGACTTACTTTGGTGCGTTTTACGGCATACTTTTGTTTTTCAAATACGTAATTTGTATGTAAACTCATACAAATTTCTTTAAGATATGAAAATAAGTCAGCTGTGTCCCTATTTAGATCTTAGACAAAGTTAACCGCATGTATAATAATCGCACGCATTCAGAAATTTTAATTTTTGCCACCATTACGTGCAAAACAAAGAGTTTCGATAACGAATTTCACAGCTCCTCGTAGAATAGAAAAAGATCGAGAGTTTTTATTTTTATCTGCAGAGCAAAGTCGACTCGACGAGTTGACGTAAGTAATGGATGCGATCGCGGTTTTCAGTAATTTTGAGAAGATCCTATCGCTCAATTAGCTTCGTTTGTATTTAATGGAGCGTAGCCACAGGACTTGAATAGCATCGCGCAGAAACGGGGGATAGGGCGAACACTTAATCGAACAACGAGTCCCAGGTGCAACGAATAAATCACAGAAAACGAAAAGGATGCAGAAACGGCCCGATGCAGGTGGTATTGCAGGCGCAGGCAGGCAGCTCGCTCCTTTTTTTCATCATCCTCGTCGGCCGACCGCGAGAGACACACATACCTAAATCGGATCTCTTCCAAGTCAAAGGGATATTCAATTATACCGGTGGTGGGCACTCTCACACGAAGAATGTCCTGTTCTGTGGGGAGGTAGTTTGGTGCCGCGACTCGATCTATCTCCATTAGGTAACTGAAACATCGTGTTCTCAATACCCGGTGTACAGGAGGGTGAGACGTGAGGACAGGAAGGGGAGCAAGTAAAGCCATCGTGGGAGAGTTAAGTCGTGTCCGGTTGCGCGCGTGAATGTCAGAAGCGTTGCTTCGAAACACAAACGTAAACGAGGATCAGGTGGGCGCGTGGTGTTTAAACAAGATCCCGAACAATCTCGGTGAATGGTCTCTGAAAATGAAGAGCTTGTTGAAAGGCCTTGAGTCCTTCCTCTCTTTGTTTTTTTTTTATTCGAGAGAGAGGAAATGGACGGACACGCATTGTGTGTTAAAAGGCACGTTTTTATTAAAAATTGACCTAAGCCCTTTCGGGGATGTGCCGTTACGCTTGCGTGTTCGAGGATACAAAGTGTCTCCTCCGTGTGTATCGTACACAATACCGACGAGCAGGGTCTCCTGTTAATTTCGTTCTTTCCTTTCACTCGATCAGAGTTGCAAGAGATTGATGAAATAAACTAACGCAGAAGTGTCTCGATGACTTTCTCAAGAGGAAAACCCTAATTCGTTGAAAACGAATCAACGGGAAAGAGACAGGTGAACCTGGGTCGTCCTGTCGCGAGAGTTGTTTGGTGAGGAAATCCGGGGATGTTACACACGGAGGAGCGGCAGGATGATCCTTCGAGAAGATATGCGAAGGCGAGATAACGCGCTCCCGCGAGAAGGTGGCGCGGATACGAACGGCAGCTGAAATACTCACTACTTGGCGGAATCCGTGAGCTGGTATTCCCGTCTACGATCGTAGCACTCCTGTATACCCGCGTCCGCCCACAGGTCCTTGATTGCTTCCACGTACGGACTCTCGAACGTCGTCACTGTTTCGAAGTCGACGCTCCGCACTTGTTCCGCTTTTTCCTGGAAGGGAAGAGAAACGTCTGTAAGCCCACGGCAGGAAGACGGGACCGCGACGTGCGATTTGTGCGTATCGGACGAAGTTATCGTTGACCTTCTGATACCCGATGTGTAGAACATTTAAAGCTTTAACCCTTTAACGCGAGGCCTGACCTGCGTGCGATCGCAGTGGCGGATTTAAAGCACTTTAGTATCGCATCCGAGACACGCACACATCTCCGCGGAAGCGCAAAATTGAATAACATGTCGCCTTTGCACGAGAAGAGCGACGCAAGTAAAAGATACGAATTTCTGCGTTTTTATAATTTGCTCGAAAGTGTACTTTTATCCAGAAGAACGCCGTAAGTGTAGTTACAAAAATCCCGTCCAGTGCAAAGGTTGTACTTCGTTAAAACAATCTTGATGTCAAAGAGGAGGAACGTTTAAGAGACATACAATTCTCACGTTACGAAGAAAGCTCTAGCAAGAATAGAACTAACTTAGCAGACCATACGATTATAGCTGTGTATAAACTGCAAAGAGATAAAAAATTTAAAATCATTCTTCTGCTCCGCTACTTTTGACTTGGCGTCGCTTTTCTTATCGCAGACACGCTGCGATGGGATCAATGAACTAATCGAGGGAAGCGAAAATTAGAATTAAAACACGATCCTTCTGTCAAGCTGCTGCCATGTTTAAAGTCATTTACTTGGACTGTTCGCTTCAATTTCGAAGAGGCAAGGAATTAATTTAACTATTCAGTTTAATGCTAATTTCATTGCTGCCATAAAGATCTGGCTTTAGACCAATTGACTACAAACAAGTGGCATTGGCACCGGATGAACGGTACGTACTATATTCGAGGAATCGCCGTACTGGATCTTGAGGAGATCCATCGCCCGGATCATGGACTGCATCGCCATGAAAATGTTTTGGTACACAAGTTTGATGAATCCTCTCTTGTCCTCGTCCGAGTAGCCGGAACCATGGATAATCCTCATCTGCTTGATGAAGGTGGACTTGCCCGACTCGCCGGTTCCTGCGACAAAGTTTCGGCCTCGATTAGCACGCTGTCAAAGTAAATAAATAAGCAACAGCTTCCCACCCTCGGAGAGTGAGATTTCAGATTCCGAGTATACGATCTTTTTGTTAAGCTGCTGCCATGTTTAAAGTCATTCACTTGGGCTGCTCGCTCCAATTTCGGTAAGGCGAGGAATTAATTTAACTATTCAGTTTAAATGCTCATTTCATTGCTGCCGTAAGATCTCGTTTTAGACCAATGCACCCAAACTTTTTACACGACGTAGCAAAGCGTCCACTTCTAGCGGTAAAATCAGCAGTTAATAGACGAATTATTCGGGCGTAAATGATTTAACTGTTCAGCCACGAGAATGCTTATTACTCCGAAATTATTATGTAAAGAGGATACAGTGGCGATAGTGCAATATAGAGAGACAACATATTGTCCGGACCGATTATTCCCATATCAATCGGCGTAACACAATGAAACGATGACGTCACGAATTAACGGGAAGCATCTACGCATTAAATTTACGCTCACGGGCATAAAATTTAATTCCACTACATACATATATATATATGCTGCCATTATTATATATATTACATATATATATGTAATAATAATATATAAATATTATTGGCGCCAAGGAAGAATTGTCAGTCAGTTTCAACACGCTCGCGACCTCGCACCTCGCGGCTCGCGCGAAGATTGTCTTCTGGGAAACAGTGGGCCGATTATGTCGGTCAGAAGCAAGTGGAGGGGGAGGGGAGCGGTTGCTGCTAGTGGCGGCCGCGGCAGCAGCAACGCCGTCGGCGGTGGTTCTGGCACCGATGCTGTTGCTGCTGCTGCTGCTGGCGTCGGCGGCGGCGAGCGTGTAGGTGGCGCGTGTCGCGTCGCCGCCGTCGTTTCCTCACGAAATCATGAATGAACGCCGCCGCACGCGGCCGGCGCGACGCGCGGCGGTTTTCTCAACCTTACGGATATCTCTCCCGACGGCGGGATAACGATACGCCTTGCACCCCGGGAACGTTATTCGAGATAGACCTCCGGCCTCTTCTCGAATTCGAGACTGTTTGCGAAAGATCGTGATCGCGGGCTTCGGGATGAATCACGAGACAGAATATTCGACGGATATCGCTCGATGACGCTGACAGCACTTAGGACATTTATTTATTAAGCGAATTAATATAAAAAAATCGTACGAGATATTTCATCTAGCCTAACTGTTAGATGATTAGAGAATTGAGTAAGAGCGAATTCGGTTGCTTGCACCAGTGCGCACTGAGTGCACACTAAGGCTTGTTTATAGTCAGATCTTATATTTAACCAAGGTTGGGAGGTAGCTCGTTACTTGTAACCAAGTTACAGTTACAGTTCCTTTTTTAGGTAACTCTAGCTTAACTTCGTTATTTTCTCTCCGTCTGTAACTGTAACTTAACTCAGTTACATTTTTTTTATAACTAGTAACTAATTTAATAGTTACATTAATAGTTACTTTATATATTTTTTCAACCTCCACAGATCGCATTAAGCTTTGCATTAGCGCATAAACGCCTCTATCGAAACTTAATAATTTAAATGCAGATTTGATATTTTTATTTTCATTGCAAGTAAATAACTGCAAAGTAACGATTCGTTACTTTTTAAGTAACTGTAACGTTTTCTTTTCTTTGTCTTAAATACATGTTCAAGGAGTAATTAGTCAAAAAATGATCCGTGTAAACGTTATACGGGCCATTTTTCTGGATAAGAAATAGTGCAAGAGGTATGTAAGATGATCTTTAAATATCACGAGACACGGTAGTGTCTCGCGCCAAGTATAAGCGACAAGCTAAACCACGCGCGCGACACCGACCGTGTAGCTTACGCGAGTACGCGAGTTGACGGACCCTCAGAATTTCGGATCTCAACTACGTAAGAATTGACCGGAAACAAGGCTTAGTGTGCACTTAGTGTGCACTCAGCGCGTACTAGTGCGACCAACCGAATTCGCTATTAGAGACTTCATAACTGAGCGCAGGAACGTTAACTCTTTCAGGATCACTAGATACAAAAGCTATTGATGGAAATAATACTGCAAATGTCATTTAAAAGGATTTTCAACTTTACCGGCGTATAAAACACAAAAGATGATCACGACAATGTATATGAAAAACACTCGGCCGTGTATTAAAAATTGAGCTGGTGTTTTTTTGCAGTTGAAAAAATTCGATAAGAGAACGAGGCGAGAGCCAATAATTCGCTTCTTGAAATGGACCTTGTGAATTATGAATTAAACTCATCGTCGCTCTCCCAGATGCTAAAATCTTTAATTTCTGATGGCCCCCGTTACATTTGGCATACAATATTTACAAGTTTCGATCGACAGCTTCCCTGGAAACTTTTTTCAGCTTCGTCGAAAGATCTAGCGTTAAAAATTAAACAATCGAGAGGCGAGGCGCCGCGTTCCGGGTATCAGTGCACTTCGCCGAATCCCACCCAATTCCGCGGGATAAGGGATAAGGAGAAGTGTGTTTGCTACTTTCCGGCTGCGTGATAATGTTGGGCGCGTAACCTGAATCGATCCTCGTGCACGCGAGGGACACCCCGGGTGCAAAGGAAAGAGCTTTTTATGCGCGTCGCCAAGAAAAGACGCCTCGCGCGCCCACAAGCACGCCTTTCTCCGCCTTAATGAGGATGCAAAAAGGCCACCGGGCATACGCGCTCTGCGCCTTTTATCGATAAAGACGGCCGTGTGTTATCAATCGAAAAAACGCACAGGACACCTCTTCTCCCCCTCCGCTCCGATTGGGAGTAACTCTTTGCGCCACGATAAGAGGATAAAACAGTTTTGCGTGAAAGAAATCGAAAGTAATGGAAATTCGTAATTAAATGCAAATTTACGTTTTATTTTATTTTACCCATCAATATTCATTTATTAATCGCGTGCTGATGAAGTCGAAACGTTACACAATGTCTCCTCTCGTACTATCCGACAATAAACTGCTGAAAAATTGTTTAAATAAACATCTGGTATCACTCGTTTCTTTTGGCCTATAACTTATTTATATTTGTTACTCGCAATTGAGATTCCTTTCGCTTGTCGATTACTCTTCGATCGAACGTTACTGCGTATCGTATCAAACTACGTATCGTATTAACTATTGTCTCGGAGAATTTTGAGATGCGATCCTTGAGCGTTAAGTGGAAATTATACACCGCGTAAAATAATTGAGAAATTAATATTCTCGATAATCTCGTATTATCGGAATAGTAGTTTCACAATCATTTCACGCGAAATTGTATTATCTGTCAGTAACAGGAAATACGAAAGGCGAAGGCCAATCTCTCGTACAGAAACGATTCTAGTCGTTAGGTCGTTAGGTTCGGGGCATCTAATACGCGGAGAGAATTTTCCCTTAAGGGGATGCTGGAGTGATTCTACACTTTTGGCACCTTTTGCTCCTACAACTGTCAATTCGTGAACACATTTGCATAATATACAAATTACGTGGCTTTTGTGTACAGACCGACAGTGTCCCACTATTTAGATCAAGTCAAAGAACAGCATGGTATCATTGAAATTAAGTTTAGAAGCCTAATCGTGGTATTTCCAAGAGATTTAGAGAGTTTTTGGAAATTTGACCATACTTTTTACTAGTCTAATGTACGTATATAAAATTCCAACAAACTCTCAGAAAGTTCTTCAAAATGCCACGTTGTCGCACGATTACGCGATTTTCAGGGTAAATTTTAAAAGAAAATTCTCCCCGCGTAGTAAAACCAACGGCGCACGATACAGTTTTTCCTACTTGATTACCTACGACAGCCAATCAGGCGCATCCTTACTGGTTCTCCTAAGCAATCCAGTAGGAAAAATAGTATTGTGTGCCGTCAGCTTAAATTAGGAATGACATAAAAAGTCCGATTGGATCTGTCGGGTCTCCCCGGGATCGGCGAGGGAATATCAATCTCCGAGGGAAGAGCCCGTTCAGACGCGTTTTGTCAGCTCCGTTGAATCCCCCGACTCGCTTAAATCCCCGCGAGTTATTGTGTGCCGGCAAGACTCGCGGCGTGCAACAACGGCGCGATTATGCGACGCGGGAACGGCACGTTTGTCGCGCTTGTTTGCTTAGGTGCTTAAGACTCTCTTTGAAGTCTGTACCTTGGCGGAGTTACGGCTCTATCGCCGATCAATGTCAACGATGATTACACCCCCGGTGACTGCGTCGCGCGCTAATTTTCTCGCGAGCCGCGCTCGGTTATTATATTATATAATCGCAGTGCGGTTAATTAAACTGGCTTATTCCCCCGTCGGTCGCTTTTCCGGGGAATTGACCAGAGAGCGGTAGACTTTCTTCGCCGCCCCCTTACTTTTGACAACACGACCGTCGCCGGACATCGCGAAATTTCTATTTACACATTTACCTTTCGTCGTGTTTTCGCGCAAAGAATGCACTTCAAGTATATTCGAGATCAAATGAAGAAAGTAATTTTGTTGACTACATCAGTTTCCGAATTTAAAGATTCTAAAAGAAATATCAAGTTGTTCGGGTAATTAATCGACACAATTAGTCTCTTATCTCTACTGTACATTAGCGGCGTTTGTAAGAATGAAATCGCTTTCGCTGCAGTCGGTGGATTTCAAAACCACTCCGTACTGCTTGCTACTTCAATTTCGCGCGCCGAGTGTTCGCGGCGCGAGTATTAACGGGTTAATATTAGCTCGCAATAGCATTCTCTGATTGTGCGAAGACATCGCCGCCTGGCAGCGGTTTTGCGGGATCCCGATGATCGAGATCGACTCTCGAACGCCAGGAGGAAGAGCGAGGAGAAGAGCGAAGGAACGGCGGGCTAATGAATGAATGAGAACCGACGGTGGGCGGGACGCGCAACCCGGGCTCTCTTCCGGTATTTCTTCAACGGCGTAACTAAAGCCAGAACCCCCGTTCAACCGGGAAGGAGAGGAGAGGGAGGGGGAGTTTAACCCCCCATGGAATTATTTTCCCTCCGCGGAAGCGTACGCTGACTCCGCTTAT